GGTGGGGCGGGCGCAGATCATCCTCCTGCCTTGCGGGGTCATTTCTGATCCAGCTGGCAGTACAGGTACATGGAAACAGCCATGGATGCAATCTGTGGGCAGCAAGAGGTGAGTCAGCACCCCCCTTGTGTGTCCCACTTCAGCATGGGTTTGGGTCACAGCCCAGCGCACACAAGGAGAAAGAGCTAGGTGTGCCCAGGGAAGAAGGCTCAGTAGCCACCCTGGGACAGTCTCTGGTCCATGGGGCTGCACCAGACCCCTGCAGCCCCTTGGCCACCCAGGCTGGTCCCAGCCCCACTGCTCATCTCCAGGTACAAGGAGAAGGAGTCAGCTCAGGCACTTACCTCCAAAGCAGCAATGCCAGCTGCCACACCACCCACCACACCTGCGTTAGTTTTTATTTCTTCCAAGATCTGATTGAAACAACCCTGCAGGAGGCAACCACACAGGTGAGGATGAGCAAGGGGTAGTGATCTCCCAACCACTGGGGCACAGCATCACCAGAAAGGGAGGTATGGTTCTGCAGCCTAGAGCTGCACGGCCATGGAGAAGTCTAGGGGCTTCAGGGGGCAACTCATCTCAGCCACTTCTCAGGCCAAAGCGTAGTGTTGCTGGGCAAGGAGGGGAAGAGGCACAGAAAGCACCCAAAAAGGCAGAGTTGTTCCTGGGTTCATGCTCAGCTCCAGGCATGCCACCCTGTTGCAGAGCTTCCTTTAGGACCAAAGCTTTGCTTGTCTCCACTAGGGACAAGCTAAGGCCACCATAGCATCCCCCAGGACTTAAAGCCCATGGGATTGCCATGTCCAGAGCTGAGGCTGGAGCTACAGGACAGGTCTCCCTCCCCATGCCAAGGCACACCCCAAACCAGGTGGCACATCCATACCGGGACTTTGCTTTGTGCTGCAACCGTGGCATTGCAGGGCTTCATGTCCTCACAGCACGGCTCCGGGTAGGTATTGTGTTTCTCAAGCCACTGAGAGTTGTTGAAGTCTGTGTAGTTATTCAGGCCACAGCAATGGACCTAAGAGGGAGAGAGAGGATGGGATGGGGAGAGCATCCTGCAGGTCTCCCTCCTGGGTCAGACGTGGTCTGGACCCCACTACTCCATGAAGGAGGTCACTCAGCTCTGAGGGGGGTGCTCAATGGCCTTCTTAGGACCAGGACTTTACCCCCTGCTCCAGCATGTGCAGCTATTGTCCCAGCCATGGGACCACTAGATCCCAAGCAGGTAGATCCCAGGCACCTGGGAAGCTGATGGGGTGGTGACAGCTCAGCACATCCAGGATTGCAATGCTATCCCCATTCCCATCCCACTGGCCCACCCAGGTGTGCACCACCAAGCCTGTGCTGGGAGCATCCTGACCCACAGGTGAGGGCTCCAGGGCTCAGCACACCTCTGTCATGGTGACATTCCAGATATGCGTGAGCTTCATATCCACCCCATACTTCTCCTTCAGGAGAGGGGTCACCACAGCCGTCAGCAGCGTCTCTGCCTGAAAGAAGAGGCAGAGAAACACCATCAGAGAAGGTCCTGGTGAGCACAACAGAGCCAAGAGCCCCCCATGCTGGTCTCAGACCATGGGGAGGAGACCAACCAGACCCAGCATAGCCAGGAGCATGTCACACTGTGTCCGTTCGGCCCGAGGACAGCTTGGCCTCTTCCCCACTAACCAGTGCTTTATGGCACCAAGGCCACTTACGACCAGTGAGTCACCTGATAAGCAGCATAGCTGAGGGAGCCAGGAATGACGTTTGCCCTGCGGTTGACTTCCCCAGTGCCTAATGAGGCAGTCACCTTTCTCCCCAGGTGGTTTCTCAGGTGCCTAATAAGGGGTTGAGTTTGCTCAGCATGAAGCAAACTTCCTCTCCCATGTGGCTCCTACCATTAGAGGTGTCAAGCCTAGGCTGGTACTGGACTAATGGGTTTGAAAGAAAGAAGTGGGTGAAACTTGTACCATAAACCTCATTTCTTTAGGGCCACGTGAATCCCTGATCCCACCAGCCTCACCCCAGCAGGCCGGCCCAGCCTGCCCATGTAGCTGGTGCCAGCAGGGACTGGCATGCTTCCTCCTGCAGCAGTGCCCACCTCTCGGCTTCCCCATCCATTAGCAGCACTGCTAGCCCCAGTGTCTCCTGTTTTCCCAAGGGGTAGGACAGGTCCCAGATTAGCCCAACCCAAGACTTAGATATGCCACTCACAAGACCTGTGTAGACCAGAGCCACCACGGCAGCAGCAATTTCAGCAATGAAGATGATCAGCACCACCGAGAAGAACTAGGATACAGCAAGAGGAGGGAGGTCAAAGCAACAGCCAGAGTCAACAGGGGCCCCAGGAACCCATCTGCTTCCCAAGGGCCAGCAGGACCCTCCATCAGGGCTCAAGCCCCATCTCATTGCCTTCAGCACTACTCCAAGGCAGAAGCAGCACAACCTTGGGGTCCTCCAACCCTCTGCCTGCATGGGGCTGACCTCTCTGGACATGCTCCAACAGAGACCTCTGCTCAGCACCAGCTTCTGCTTCCTTTCACCCTTGCCCACGGCAGACTTTGGTTCCAGCACTGCCTTTCCAAGGTCCACCCAGCCTTCGACCACATGGGAACATCCAAGGAGGACATCTCCAGAGAAATCTATCCCTCAGACCTCCCTCACCAGAGACCCAGCTGAAATGAGGCTCGATAAGGAGATAAGTCAAGTCCATACCATCATCAGGAGACACTTGCTCTCCTTCTGGGCACCACAGCACCCAAGGAAGCCAATCACCAGCAGTATGGCACCAATGACGATGAGGAAGTAGCTCACATTCACAACCTGCAGGACGCTAGAGGAGAGCGTCCCAAATATATCCAGAAATGACTGTCCATCCACCGTGACCCAGATGCCAACTCCCAGGAGGGTCCCACCACCAAGCTGGGAGGAGAAATACAACATCAGCTCCCAGGCAGGCAGAGATCCAGGCTTTGGGGAAGGTCCTGACACAGGTATTTCTTCCCTCTGAAAGTTTTCACGGTACTAAAGCAAGACTTTGTGACCACTGAGGGCAGCTCAGGGCTTTGCCACTACAGGCTTGGGGTGGACAGATAGGTCGCTACCCTGAAACACCCCACCGCCAGCACGTCCCCAGCTGCAGCATCTCAGCTGCCCCCTTCCCCAGCCCAAGGGGGTTTGGTGCCAGCAGCAGAGCAGAAACACTTGTGCTGGGCAGGCAAGCCAGCAGCATCATGCCCACCCCCCACCCCTGAGGGGCAACATGCAGCCAGCTCAGACATTGGCAACCATCATGAGCTCTTCCAGCCAGGGAAGCTGCCTGCTCACCCGGGGGAACAGTTGAGCAGCTCCTGGCTCCAAACACACACACACACTCTCAGCAAGGGCAGCTCAGGGCTGCCTCCAGCCTGCCCCAGCCCTGCCCTTCACCCACTCAACCTTCACCACCAGCTCCAGGTCCCAGCAGGAGCTCTAAGAAGGGAGCTCTTTGGCAGGGTGAGCCTGGGGGCTCTGCACCTCCCCTTCCCACTGCACGCCCTTCCAGGTGGCTCCATTGCTCCTGCAGAGCCAGAGTAGCTCTCAGGAGCTGCACTACCCTTTGCCTTGGGTGGGAGCAGAGGCTGTGCGTGCTCTGGAGACCCCCAACACCACAGGTCACTGCCTTGCACATGGGCTGCTCCCCTACAGAAGCAGAGCCCCCCAGGCAGAGACCCAGCAAACCCCCCTGCTCTGGGGCACCCAGGACCCTCCACCAGAGATTCAGCACAGGGAAGGACACGGGTGGCTGATGCAACAGCCACAGTCCCCAGAGCCCAGCACAGTCCCCTGGGCTTCAGCCAGAGCTGAGAGACCCCCACAAGGTTAAGTCCTCAGCTTGGACCCCTCACCGGGGTCCCAGCAGCATGAGTCCCACGAACACTTAACACCCCCCTCTCCACCCACCACAGAAGGGACGTGGAGGGGCAGGAGAACCCACATGGGCAGGCTTCATTCACCCCATACCCGGCTCAGGGTGCTCCCTAGGAGTTGCTCGCACAGACCCCAGCCCTTCATCCCAGTTTCCCGGAGCAGCCGGGGGGGGGCTGCTAGGCTCGGCCCCCCCGGTCAGAGACATCAGCTGGGGTGCACTTACAAATATGGCCAGGTTGAAGAGGATCATCATGACCTTGATGAAGGTGAAGCACCCCATGTTTGCACCTGGGGAAAGCAAAGAGGTCATCAGGGGGAGCCCCCACCCCGCTGCCCTCCTGCCAGCGGGGCTTAGCCCCACTCCAGGGGAGACTGGATCTCCCCACGGTGTCCAATCCCCGAAACGCCGAG